TATATATATATAATCAATTTCTTATTTAAGCTAAAATCAAACTCTATATATAATTAGCACTAGAATCAATATAATACATATATTTTATTTTATATAATTTTATTAAGACCTCTTTTTTTAGGAATTTTTATAGAGAAACTAAACTATGAACTGTTTAAAACAAATCTAAAAAGCTCGAACAAGTCAAATGAAAAAAATAATAAATCAATCAGACTTCTATGTATCTGGAATGGTCATAATACTATCTATTATTGTTCCATTTTGTGCAATTGCATGTAGGAAATGGGGGTTTCAATGAAGTTTTTGGTCAATGATGCAAACAAGTATATTATGACTAATATGAACAATTGCAAAAATATTCAATAATTATATCAAGGTAGGTAACAACATAATGTTTGCTTGGTGAATATAAATATTTTATAAGAATATATGTAAGAGATAAATTGATATGTATTATGACAAAACAATTCTCATAATATACCTCATGATTATAACCAATATTTTCACATATATTTTTTTATGATTTTCAACCAATTATATATATATATATATATATATATAATGACAAGGTGGATTCATATATCGAAGTAATTTATTGATTTTTATTAATTTAATATATTCAACTCATTTAACCAACTTAAATAATTTTAAAAAAATATTGTCATCGCACAACAACGCAAGTTGTGTGATGTCAAACATTAATTTTATAATAGAAATTAAGCATGATGAGATGGTTAGATTACCACTTTATATCCAATTAACAACAAATATATAATTAAAATGATTGAACTTGCAACCTCAAATATATTTATAAGCAATGTTACCATTATACCAAGAGAACTTTTGTTAATTTTTCTTCCATTTTGGTTTTTTATTTTTTTCATGATTTATTTTTCTTCCCATTATCAATTCATCTTAAAACTTGTTGGCTTTTTTTTTTATCTCATTTCCATGCAAAATATATTTATTTGAAGGATCAAGGTCGATACCATTTGGAAAATTGTATTTTATTTCTCAAATCGATACAATTGACTTTTTCCTATGTCAAACCCTGTTGACTTTCTTCCTAAGTGAAACCGTGAGTTTACGGAACTTTGATTCCACCCTCTCCACAAAATTTGTGGGTCCGTCACTAAACATCCCAATAAATTTTGCAATGAAAACATCATCTCTTCCATTCTTATACTCACCTCATTCTTTCCATGTATCATCTTCTTACATTTGTTGTTTTCTTTAATGCATATATATAGGCAAATGATCGTATAAGAAGTAGAGTTAAGATGAGAAGCGTAAGAAGGGATCTTACCCCTTGATCACCTTTAATCTTAAACATATCCATGAATCGAGTTTGATACAAAGATTGATTTGGTGCATCTTAGTGCATCCCATTCTAATGTGCATCCAATGATGGAGATCCCTTCTTACGTCTCTTATCTTAACTCTCTTTCTCACCGAAAACCAATTCATACACACACACACACACATATATATACATATATTTGATGGCGAAAGATCGTGTGAAAAGCGTAAAAAATATTTGAACATTTAATTACTTTTAATCTCATGTCCACCAATGAATGTGCTTTAAAAAAAATTGATCTGATGTATTTCAATACACCTCATTAGTATTGATATTTAATTATGATTAAACTAAAAACAAAGATCTATTCTTAAACTTCTCACTATAGCTTTCCTTCTTAGAATCCAACTTTAGATTTTGATGATTGTTAAAATATTAATATGTAAATAATTTCTTTTAAGTTTAATTGGCAATTAATTTTATTTTAAAAAAATGTTGACGAATTTATTTATATGTCTGAATCAAATAGATTTTTTATAAATAAAGGAAGAAAGACAATGAAAAATGGAGTCGATTACGAAACGAAGAACACCAGTAATTCCGACATCACTCGTGGGTCTTCCCAAGAGTCGAGCATTTGCATCAAATTCCCCTGATAATTTAAAACTTGATGCCAAAAGGGAGGTGTATCAAACCAAGCGTTTCTGTTTCACCATAAAAAGAATCTTTTCCTCTAAAATAAACAAAACATAAAGTCACCCTTTCTTCTCATGTCTTGTTACACAGCAGTTCTTACTCAAACACAGACCATTTCCCTTTCCCCAATTCACCCTCACCACTGACATAAACTCCAATCCATACAATTTTATATAGAATCTATTCCATTCTGTGAAATCTTCACTGCATTGTTGATGGGTTTTTCGTTCTCTCAGAAAGTAAAATTTTGATTGAAAAAGATCCATCACCTTAATCAGTTAGTTGTCATCATCATCTTCTTGCTCTTGATCTGGGTAAAAGAGAGAATTGGGTAAATGGATGTTGCTGTCTGCTTTTGATTATGTTTAGGGTTACTAATTTTAGTATTTTGTTTGCCCACCAAATTTGGCAAAAGAAATAATGCAATCTTTTTGGTTCTTTACTTCTTTGGTGACCAGCAAAGTTAAATATTTCCATTTGTAACAAGGCCCTTCATTTGTATGCTGGTTTATTCCTTGCTCTCTTGAAAAAAGTTTCAGTTGGATTTTGATTTTGTCGATCACTGCCTCTCTGTGTGTGATTTTGTTTCTCTCTCACACACAAAGTGAGTGTATGTGCGCCAGTGGACTTATGATGGCTAGGGAAAAAATACAGATTAAAAAGATTGATAATGCTACTGCAAGGCAGGTGACCTTCTCTAAGAGGAGGAGAGGGCTGTTCAAGAAAGCTGAAGAGCTCTCTGTACTTTGTGATGCTGATGTTGCTCTTATTATCTTCTCCTCTACTGGCAAACTCTTCCACTATTCTAGCTCCAGGTAATCTTCAATTCTCATATATATATATATATATATATATATATATATGTGTGTGTGTGTGTGTGTGTGTGTGTTTTCAGATATGTGGATATATATATGTTTCAAGATTTTTTTTTCCTTCTTGGGTACTAGAGATTCTCATGGAGTTTCATAATTAGGGTTTACTATTTCATTGCCAAGATATTGCGACTGTCTGAACCATAGAATTTGGTTTTTGATTAAAAGCCAAGGATCACGAGATCGTTAAAAACAACACTAAACTATGCAGGGTGAGAGCTTTGGACCAAATTGTGAAAATGTAAATGTAAAAATGAAACTATTACTCATTTTTGCAAGGTGTAATGTTTTTCATGTAATTTTGGTTTGTACTACATGCTTGTTTGGTTTGTAAAGTGCCCAAACAATGAAAGTTTGATTCTTGTTGTGATTACCTAATCTTTCTGCTGTTTTTGTAAGGTGTACTCTTATCTTCCCTCTAAACTAATCACCTTTGATTTGGGAAGTTCCATCAACTACTTCCCTAAATCAAAATTACACCAAATACTTTTGTTTTGTAAACCTGCAATGCATATTTTTAAAACATGCAGTTTTAATGTGGCTGGCAGTTTTTTTGTTTGAACAACAATTTTTGATCAATGTTGATGTTAAGCTGCAACTCCTTTACTCAAATGGGTCGAATTCGATTTTGTTTTTAGTTAAAACCCAGAAAACCACATAATGAGAGGCTCCTTTGTTTTTTCTTATTGTTAAAATCCATACAATTAGAATTTGAACTGAGGATCTTAGTTATATTGGTGAAGTTTGAACCACTTGAGTGATTAAGAATAGCTATTCTTTTCTTACAATTTTCTTGCTTTGATAAAAGATCAAGTTAGACTTGGATCATATGGTAAATTCCTAATTGAGTTTGTTAGAATCAAATTTATATTACATGCTAGAGATTTTTTGTTAGGCTGCTCTTGTATTGTGTCACTTGAGATCAATACATGTATATTGTTGGGTGGTTCTCTTTTGTAATATAAACTTATGGGTGGTTCTCTTTTGTAATATAAACTTATGGGTGGTAGTTGGTGCTCCTCATGCTATGGATCTTGTAGTGGAAAGGTTTAGGCAGTGTTTACATACATTATTCATAGTTGCAATGCCAAAAAATTTATTCTTACCTTTGATGAATTGCATCTATTTCAAAATGGTGTTAACTTATTTATGATTATGAGGCCTACGGATGCATGCATGTTGGACAATATTTGTCTTTACATCAATAACAAATGTAGATATCATGCATTTCGTATTACTTGATGAGGTTGTGGTCGAGTCATCATTTGTAGCAAACGAATGATCGTTGTTGTGCTATATTTGTAGATACAGCCACAGGACGCAAGCATCCTTGCTTTTTATAGGTGGTAATACATTGGAAGTCATGTGTTCAAATCTTTGCTTTTTTGCTTGTTCAGAATTGTTCTCATTCATTTTCTTTGGGGTAGATAGTTAGGAAAATTGATCAACTAATTGTCAAGTATTTATGTTACCTATAAATAAGATCAAAACCGAAGAATCCTTGGGACTCAAATAAATATCGTTAGTTTACTTGTCATGATGCTAAATCTTTTTTTCCTGTTTGAATTTTTCTAGGATGAAAGATAATACATGCTTTACATTATGTAAGAATGAAATCACTAACAATATATTAAGAAACCAAACATCAAGATTTTTGCCGAAGTAGGTCTTACTTACTCCCTCATATCCTCACTCTGAAAGAGAGACCATATTTGGTCGTAGAAATAAATAACTCGTTCAAATTCGAACTTGGATTTTTTTTTCCTTCATGTTTTTGTTCTAATGGAGTACTAATTTTCATACCAGGCAGCATTCACACTCTTATTGTTGCTTAAGGGGTCTAAACCAGATGAGAAAACACCTTCGTGTTAAAAATCAATGCAAAAGAGGTTTGTATTCATCAAAAACAAAACACAAAACTACATTAAGACATCATCAACCACATCACAGGAGTTTTTGTTTGCTAACTTTTCACTTTGTTCTCATATAGAGATTTGGAAGCAACTTTCTTATTGTACTTCCAAAATTCCAACAACAATCTTAGTTTGTATTACCCCTTTTTTCTTGCAAATGAGTCTAAATTTGCTTTTTAGTGTCGAATGAATTATTTTGAACCTCGAACTTCACAATTATTAACTATTTCTTTATGTCGATAAATATGGGAATTTTTAGGAAAGTAGTCGGCTTGAATTTTTAAACTCAAATGTGGAGTGTAAGTTTGGGTTGTCAAGTATATGATTCATATCACTCTATCTATGCTTAAACATGTAGTGCATTAATCTAAATGTCTTGATTGGAGAAACTAGAGCAAGTTATTACATTGTAGCATGTTCTAGGTTATGTCCCTGGTCGTTTCTACCCCATTAACTTGTCCTTTAATTCATGTATTTATCTCGGATGTTCTTCAGCATGAAAGAAATACTTGAAAGGCATAGCCTGCATTCGAAAAATCTTGAGAAGCTTGACCAACCATCACTTGAATTGCAGGTCAGCTTATTGTTTTTTTTATTATTATTCTATGATTGTTATTATTTATATCTCAAATTTCTTCTTTTTCTATATTTCTAATAATATGGTTGATTGTAAGTGGTGTAAGTTTAATGGATAAGGTTACTCTATGACCTGAACTTCAAGTTTTGAGTAATAAAATTGTTTCTTTGCATAACGTAAGTTAAAGCTTATATACAAAGGCTTTACCTCCCCTTTCTTGAAAGTTGAGGAGCCTTGGTGCACTAGCGTAATGGTATGTAATTAAGTTGCAGCACAATCTTCATTTTATTTTATTTTTTACCCATATTTTTGTGGTATCTTTTGAGCCAAAAAGTGTTGATCATAGATGATATTTATTTGCATGATTGTGCGTAGTGATAATGATTTTGTTTAGATGCTGGATAATTTGGAAAGGGGTTCAATCTCTTCTAGTAATTAGTAGTACCTAGCTACCGGATGAATTACTTTCCAAGGACTAATTCACTTTGATTTTCATTGATTTCTTGTTCATCTTATATTTGAATCCATCTTCATTTCTACTTACATCACTGAAATGAGATCTCACCCTATGCCCTCTTTTTCCCTCTCATCACAAATGACACCCAAAAATAAAGTTGTGAATGGAGTCAATATAGAAAGTGATTAATTCTTGGCGATTTTCTTTTTCTGTAAGTGTTGAAATTTGTGTTGTATGCAGCTGGTTGAAGATGCCAACTATGCCAAATTAAGCAAAGAAGTTGCAGAGAGAACTCTCCAATTAAGGTACATTTTCATGGAGACGTCTATTTTAATTGCTTCATGTGTGTACTTGGATTTGGACATGATCCTCCATGAAAGGCAGGCGGTTGAGAGGTGAGGAGCTTCATCTTTTAGGTATTGAAGAGCTGCACCAGCTGGAAAAATCCCTTGAAGCTGGATTGGGGCGTGTCGTTACAAAAAAGGTCCAACTCAATAGCATCTCTTACCCCTCACTTCATAAAACTGCAGTGACGGAAGCATCTAAGTGGACAGCCAGAACTCTTGCATTGGCTGAATGCACATGTGTCACACCATGTGGCTTTTATAATAATAATAATTTATTATTACTATTGTTGATATATGTACCAGGAAAAGCCACATGGAGTGACATGTGTACATCTTGTTCACCTGAAAAATGTTCATACTAGTGTTTTATTGTACAATTGCTATGTTAATGTTTGTAAAATGTGTAAAGTTTTGTGTATGTTCATCAAATTAGCAAACAGTCAAAGCTACGTTGTATTCTATAGGATTAACCCTTTTACATTGGTAGCTACATAGCCTTTACCAGTTTTTGATTCACAAGTTGTTTATTTTCTCCAGGGTGAGGTAATTATGAATGAGATTAGTCGTCTTCAAGAAAAGGTCAGAAACAATATACTTGTACCAATTAATTTTTGTAATTTGAAAAGACCCGAATCTTGAAACACGATACTCGTGGATTTCTGAGTTTGTAACAATGTTAGTACAACAATGCAGGGAGTGCAATTGATGGAGGAGAACGACCGGCTTAGACAAGAAGTACTACGAGTCTTAATTTGTTAAGATTTTCTTCTTTTTCACTTGCATTTCGTGGTTGTAACTGTGTTTTTCTTCTGATGGTGGAATGAAGATGGTAGAGATATCAAATGCTCGAAAACAAATTCATACTGATGCTGAGAATGTAATTGGTGAAGAAGACCAATCATCTGAATCTGTTGCCAACATTTGCAACTCTGCTGGTCCTTCACAAGACTATGAAAGCTCTTATACATCCCTCAAGTTGGGGTTAGTACATACATCTCTTTATTTGCTTTCAACATCAAACTTGTACTCGAACAAACATAAATTCCAAACCTTTTTCTTTTATAATCTTTCCTCTACTTGGATCAATCTCCATAAAACCCTATTTATTTGTGTGATTCAAAAAGAAATTAATAGGACTGAATTCGTGATGAAAAGTTGTTGAATCGAACAGTATTGAAGTTCACAAACTAAACGTTATGTTAAAAATGTACTTGTAATTGTTTCTGTACTGTGTAATGGTACTAAAAGTAACCATCTTCATGAATTCGCATTTTGAGTTGAACCTTTCAAAAGATTCTACGGATTATTTTGTTTCTTTATCTCAGTTTTATATGAAGACGGGATCCCTGCAATGAATCCAGAAACAAATGGGTATCAAGTATATGGCTAATATTTCGTTCGGATTGTGGTGCAGGCTACCTTACAGAGGGTGATTCGAGCTTGTAGGGTTTATGTACGTGAAGCACGTAAATGAGAGCTAAGATGACGAAGATGATGCATGCTTACGGACATATATATATATATATATATATATATATATATATATATATATATATTTCAACCATGTATATGCTGTTTTTATATTTTGATTGACCCCTGGCTGTCTAGATGGGGATTATGGTAGCTATATGTTGTTGTAGCTACATTCTGTGATCTGAACTCAGTTGCACCAGGTAACTTAATTGTGTGATATGTTGACATGGAATGATATGATGGATCCTCACTTGTACTACCTGGTAAATTACTTTCTTCTTGAAAAGAAAAATAATTAGTAACATTTTAATTGCAATATTTTTTAACTGATAATTATTAACTATTAAAAATAAAATATTATCGATTACAATTAGTAGTACAGGAGGCTTTTTCTTTATATCAAAGATTGGAGAGGGACCATGAATAAAGTGGAATAATAAAAGAGTAAATTATGATTTTTGTCCTTTAATAATTTCTATTTTTATCCCTGTGGTTTAAAAGTTGTGATTTTTGTCCTTTCAACATTTAAGTATAAGGGACTAAAACGTAAAGAATTGTAGACCATAGGGACTAAGCGTTTATCAAGTTACATTTCTTACCGGATGAGTATGACAATGACCAATAATCTTACCTGGTAAGAGCGAATGCAAGAATCGAGAGTCTTACCCGGTAAGTGATGGAGACGACTCTTACCACGATTAGCGCTTACCGGGTAAATTGTTACATATGTTGTTGTTTTGCTAGACTAAAATCTTACCTAATAAATAAGCGATACAGTTGAATTTTACCGTTAAGCGCTTAGCGGGTAAGTGTTTAGGTAAACGACCCCTAAAACAACAATAAATTGTAAATTATGAAGATGAAAATGGCAATGAATTACAAACCAATGGGATGGAAACTGTAATGTAGTTTCTAAACCAAAAGAATAAAAATCGTAATTCTTAACAAATCATAGGGACGAAAAACATAATTTACTCTAATACTAAAAGACATGAAGGTGTGTAGGGGGACTAGGGACTTGTCTTACCCAATGAGAAGATTGCATATCTGTAGAAGTTGTAGCCGAATCATCAAGATTTACAAATAAGTTAGACCTAGACGTAAAAAGCGGAACAAAAATAGATGGCGGAGGGGATGTATTAGGTGTACTCGAATGATTCAAATGGAGATGGGTGACCTATGAGTAAGAGATGGTCTTATTCATAGTGGAGGATGTAGGAACTAGTCTTTGAATCAATTACAAGAGAATATAAACGTCCATGAAGAAAGGATTGCTTGTGTAGAATGACTACAAAGTATCAAGATCCACTCATGGTGGCGTGAGGAGAGGATCCCTATATATCGAATTAATTAGATCAAAAGAAGCAAAAGGGATCGTTACGAGGAAAGAATAAGGCCCAGTGGCTACCTAATTGACAAGTACATAAGAAAACTATTTGAGATTACCATGTCTCACGATACCATATGTGGTAAGAAGTGTAAAGTGATCAATTACCTAGTCTAGCATGCCAAATTTCAAGGTGTTGGTTTTAGATGAGGTAGAAAGAGTTTGAGATTTATTGAAATTAATCGGCATAGATAGGGCTTTGGATTTGATGCATGTTTCTGAAATGTAAAAATAAATCAGGTCATACATCCCATTAGATTTACGACATGTCCTAATTGTGTGTTTTGTCCCAAGATCATGTACACAACAATGACAAAATGAACACAATACAACATTGAGTCCTATATTATGGAACTAATTAATTGAGATAAGACCCATAAAGAGTTCATAAATGTAAAGGATATCAGGTAAAATAATATATGAAATGAATAAGCATCCCTATAACAAACATGAAGGTATGTGTCATCATCACTTGGAATATTGGATGCACAAATATCATAATACTAGGTAACTAGAATCGAAATACCACATGATATGTGATGTTATGGAGTTTAATCCATCAAACTCGTTCCTAACATTTTATCAGTGTTTTAAAAAGCTCGACGCGACAACCATTGTGGCGTTGGCTTAAGACTTGTGTCTGACACCACGTTAAGCTTGTGGCACATCATGGCCTAATGCGTGGGTTTTATAACACAATATTTGATTTTTTTTCCTTACCCTATTACTGTCTTGTTTTTTTTTTTTTTTTAGACATAATCTAATTTAAAATGCTCAATATCATTAACTCAATGAGTAATAGTAGAAAACAAAAGTTTATTATTATTATTATTATTATATGATATACAAATTTGTTGCCATAAGTCAGCATTGAAAGCACCATGACCTTGTTGTGGCTTCTACGACTTAAGGCAACGACGAAGCCATGCCTCACGCTATTTAGAGCCTTGCATTTTATAGGTGTCGGGCGTATAAAAATAACGGTCCTCGCTAAGTATGTTTTTTATTATTAAAAATTGAGTAAAATAAATGCTAATAATTCATAGTGGAAAAAATCTTATTCTTGTCCATTATAAATAGGAGAGTGCTTAAGATCCATGTACTCATTATTAGATGATAAGTATCACCCAATAATATATGATAAAACAAAGATTATTTTTAAATCCTAAAATAGAGATATGAGTTTGACCATCTACTATGGTTTGTAGTTTTTTTTTAAGGTAATAAATTTCTTAGTTGATAACAAGAAATATGCATTATTCTGATACAAAAAGAGAACTCATCTGAAGGAACTGAAGTAACCGAGAGAGTCAATGAAAGATGAACGATTAGAAAATTATCAGAGTTTCTAGACAAGAAGACAAATAAAGATCAGTGAGGATGTGAAGAAAAAAGAATAATTCATTGAGATCCAATAAGAACAAATGATCAATGAGACATGTGATCTGAAAGCTCAATGAATGATTGGTTCAACACTTAAATAGATCTTGTGGCGTTGAGTTGAATCCAATAAAAGATGAAGAAGTCAAATAATGGATGAAGATATATGAATTTCCCTTTCCTTCTTTTCTTGCTCTACAATAAGATGTTTGGATTACAAGTTTGTGGAACATGACAGACATAAGCAAATAGCAATAGCCAATAGATGTAAAAATAGATAAAACTAGCGAACAAAAACAAATAGCAATAGCAAACACATGAGCTTAAAGTCGTCATATGTTGAATTGTTGAAGAATGGAAACATACAAATAGAGAGAGATAGCAAGAATTAATAGCATTGGACCTTGATACCATATAAAAAATTTAGAGGCAACAAGAAATAGCATATTATGAATGGCCTAACTTTTTTCATTTTCTTGTTCGGTTAATTAGTTATTACATTTTGGGTCTTTGCTATTATCAAATTCTTTGTAAAAGAAAGAGAGGGTGAGAAGGTGTATGTGGTATTTCACCAGTGGGGATTGGATATCTCGAAAACCAATGCCGGTGGAGTTGTGGTATCTCCAGGTGACAAGGGGAAGGGTGGGGCGAGGTTGAGTGGTGTTGCCTCCATACCGAATCCAAGATTGGATTCCCAGCCCAATCCAAAATTCCTTTATTTAACCTTCTTTTCTATAACCTACTTTAGGTCTTCCTTGTAGAACCATCAAATGAAGTAGCATCTAACCACCCGTCCATTTTCATTAACTACAAAACCCCAACAAGGAATACAAAGCGAAGTGGAAAAAGAGAGGAAGGGGAAAGGGGGCCAAGGGTGGTGGTGTCATTATAGGGGTGGGGCATGCGACCGGGGGAATGAGATACATATCTATACTATATTATAAAACATTTGACAAAAACTCTTAAAAACCATTTTTTATACATGAAGTACTATTTATTGATGCATATTACTTAAAATTCACGACTACAAGTAAATTATGCATAAATAGAACTTATTAAAGCTCTATGTTTGAATTCGTGTTACTAACTGTAGATAAACATAATCAAATACAAGATAAACATTTCATTTTAAATATAAAAAAATCTAAAATATAATTAGGATAATCACTGTGCTCTAACAGAATACTTAATTATCATCCTTATAAAAAATTATATTATTAAATAAAAAATAAATTATTTCGTTATTAAACCTAAATTAAATTATAATAAAAAATTAAATTAAAGAAATATACAAAAAAAACTTTTAAATAGTTATTTTAATATTAATATCGATATGTTTTTTTCAAAATCTTATAATATCTTCAAATTTATATTTTATTCAAAAATAAAAACATTATCGTTTTCTCAAAACCATATTATAAAGTCGACATAGGACAAAATAAAACGAAACAATTAAATCGAGATGTATCTCGCTGCATTACGCGAGTACCATTCTAGTATCTATATAAAAATATGTAGCTTTACGTATTTACATTAATGGTTTGATAATAGCAAAATTTTCTTGATTATTATTATATTTCAGTTAGTTGTGAATTTATTTATTTATTTTGTGACTTTATTGATTATTTCATTTTTTTATATCGGGATTAGTTTTCGTGATCTCTAGGATCGTGTCGATTGGTGTATAAATGTGAGATTTTAAACACGCTTCCAAATTTTTTGAGGTCCCCTTACTTTTATATATGTATTTTGATTTTTAGTAGATGTTTAATCTCAATCCTTACGTCTTACTTTAGCCCATTCAAGCAATTATAACATTTTAGAAAATTTCTCAATTTATCCAATTCCTCTACTTTTTTTATTAGATTTGTCGAATCCTGATTACTACTGCAAATATGCAATTCCTTGTCCTTGGATCTCTAATTTGAAGATTGAATTCTTCTATTCGCGAGTCCCTTTATCTTTGTTTTACCGATGAGTAATTTTATGATTGAAGCACCAAGCACAACCTTATTTAACAATCTTCTACTTTCTTGTTATCTGTTTCTCTTTTTCTAGTTCGAATTCACTTAGAATTTTATTGACTTCGTATATCGTGAATTGATCGTCACTGTTCAGAGCATGTGTAAAGGTTTATATAATTGGTTCAAGATGTATTTTTGACCAAGTGTTTTACTCTGAAAGGAGAGTTCAGATTTTGAAAGAGAAGAGTCAGAGTTAGAGAAATCTGCTATGTGCAAGTTTAGACAATGGATCCAAAATCACTACAAGAAAAAAC